AAATAAATAAATAAAAGAAAAAATTAAAAAGACACAGCAGAGATGAAAACATCATAAAGGAAATGAAGAATGTGTCTGGGGGACCCATCACGGAGAAAATGGAATCATGGAAAGTGCTTGATTAAAACCACAAAAAAGCAGGGAAAAGTGGAAGAGAAAAAAGGAAGAAAGCACAGGGCAAGGAACAGGAAACAGTAAGAAACCGGCCGACGTTAATCCAGCAATCACCAGAGGCCACTGAGGAAGAATCTCTGAGCTTCAGGACATGCCAACAGAAACCTCCAAACCTGAAAAGCAAAGAGAAAAAAGACAAAGACAGGAAAAAATCAGACTATCTAAGGACCGTGGGACAACTACAAAGAAGTAACATGTACAATGGGAATGCCGGGAAGAAAAGGAGACAAAGAAACAGAATAAATATTTGAAGCAATAATGACGGACAATTCCCCAAACTGAAGTTAGACACTAAACCAGAGATCCAGGAAGTCCAGAGAATGCCCAGCAGGATAAATGCCCCCAAACCACATACAAGGACAAAGAACAACTCCTGACAGAGCCAGAGGAAAAACACCTTACGTACAGAGGAACAGAGCAAAAATTACATCCAACGTCTTCTCAGAAAGCATGCACAGGGAGAGCGGACCTGAGATACCTAAAGTGTTGAGAGAAGATTAAAAACCTAGAATTTTGTATTCTGCTATCCTTCAAGAGAGAAGGAGAAGACTTGCTCAAACAAGCAAAAGGTGAGAGAATTCGCTGCCAGGAGACCTGCACTATAACAAATGTGAAAAGAAGTTCTTCAGAGAGAAGAAAAATAATACCGCTGAGACACTCAAATTTACAGAAAGATCATTAGAGATGGAATCGATGAAGATAAAACAAAAACTTCTATTTTTATTATTCTTAATAGAACTGGTAACACTTTTCAGAGTATTAGCAACAACGTATTAGATGATTATAGCTTACTTGTAAGTGAAGTGGATTAGTTATAAATGTGTCCTGCAAACTCTAGGGTAATCTCTTAAAAAAGTAAAAGAACAAGGGCA